GCAGTGGCTTTTAATGATCTACGCACAGATCATTTTGAAACTTGTTATTTCAGCTATAATGAAAAAAATCATTAATATGTAAACAATTTAGTATGTAAACAATCTACCACAGTTTCTTTGGAAGAAGTACAGCCAGAATGCTCCTAAGCCAGAACCAACTGAGGGGCACCTAACAGTAACTACAGTAATTGCCAAACGGAATTAATAAAGCATCGAAACAAAAGGATTGTACACCAAAAAAAATCTGTGGAAGAGTTTGTACATTCTAACCTTGACCAAAAAAAATATCATTTGATGTGATGCCATAAATATGATAGTCTTGGAAATATTAGGGGGCAGTTCTACTGTGTTCCAGAGGGTCAGAATCCGCTAGACAGCACATAACACATACATACATATATGACAATTTATATGGGTACAGGTTAATATAATCTCTTTATTTTATTAATTTATCTATTTTTATTTAGTACATTGTCCAGTACCTTAAAAAACTCTCACTGCAATTAAGTCAATTCTGACTCATACTCATAATGACTTTGTAGAACAGAGTAGAACTGCCCCAGTGAGTGTCCAAGATTGTAACTCTTTATTGGAATGGAAAGCCAAGTCTTTCTCCCCCAGAGCATCTAGTGGTTCCTAACTGCTGACCTTGTGGATGGCAGCCCAACTCATAGCCACTACCTCAAAAGGGCTCCTACAAGGTACTCTGTAAATGGTCACTGAGAAAAAGAAGAGAGAGAGAAAAGCCAAAAAAGAAGGGGACTGGGGAAGGAACCGGAAACAATGAATTAAACAGTGAACTATTCTTCTTCTTCAAGTTGGTAAAAATTAAATGAAAAGAGGGAGAGAGATGAGATATGAGAACAGACACTCTCATACACCATCGATCAAAGTGTAAAATGGTGAAGCTTTTTAGGATCGTATTGGCAAAGTCTGTGAGGTTTTCAGATAGCCCCCTAAATATGTGAAAATACATGTTTTGATATACCAATAGGTTGTAGTTTATAACAAAACTTACATTTAGATTATTTCTGTAAATATGAAAGTCATTAAAAAATTATGACATATTTGTGTGAACAGAACTATGTGAAGAGGCTTCAAAAAGTTCATTTAAAAAAAAAATCCCCTGGGTTTCTTTATCCCAATTTTTCATGGACTTTTTGAAGCACCTTTGGGTGTATGTATTAGAGAAAGCAAATGAGCAGTCAAATATACCAGAATTCATGAAAATATACACATTATAGAGGAATATGTTTCATAAACTACACTAAAATATCTTAGAAGAAAACATAAAGTAAATCTCTAAAGAAGGCAATATGGAA